AAGGAGCAGTGAAGGTGAGCAGCAGTATATGCAGGAACGTGAGACAACTCTTACCAAAGGAGGAACTGCAGTGTTTCCCATCAGAGGGAAAATGGGAAAAGATGTACTGCTTGGGGAACACTTCGCAGGGCAGGGGGAAGCCTCCTTGTGGCAAGATGGACTGAATGACATGAATGGAGACAGGGGAGAGGAGTGTTCACCTCCCTTTCGGAGATTTCGGTTACCTCCTGTGGTCTTCTGAGGTTCCTTTGGATTGTCTTGATTTTTCCACACAAGTGTTGAGAGAGAAGTGCTGAACCTTGTTAGTTCCTTTTCAGAGGAACCAGTAGATCTAGCTCTGCTATTGACTTGCACCGTGTTTAGGGCTGTCTTGCATGTGAAATGGTCGTGTTCTAAGATGACCTGTAGTCCCTAAACACAGGCCTGCCACTGAAAATGAAGGGAAGAGAACCAGGTTTTGTTAACAGGCATGTTTGAGAGCAGCCTGCTCAGTGCAAAATGCATCTCCTTTCCCTCAAATGAGCAGAACTGTGTGAATAAGGAGCTAGTTACAAGCCCAGGAGCCGTTTCTGTGACTGCTGAGGAAGGACAGAGGGGACCAACTTGTCAGCAGTGTTGGTTTCCCAAAGATGTGTGTGGTATACAAGAGAAGGCAGTGAAACTGTCCAGCTGATGTTAAGTGCTGTAAGGAGTGAATATTCAGGGGTTTTGGTGGAAGAGCTGAGCTATGATACAAAGCACTTTCTGGAAATTGACTGTGGCCTTCCCGCAGTTCACTGCACAAGGTTGCCAGGTTAATGATTAGTTAAGAGAATGTTTTGGTATCAGCCAGTGCTGCTGGCAGGGAATACTGTGAAGGTGCATTCATAACTTCTTTTGTAGTCTGCCTTTTGCATTGATCCATGGTGACCCTCTCCCTTCTCATTCAGTCCTCCAGGCTGTTGGTTGTATTATTTTTACAAGAGCAGGTGGCAACACTACTGGTGGAATCAACAGCTAGTTCTTGGCAAAGTTTTTTATTCCCGTGATGAAGGTACCATGGCTTAAAATATTTTTTGAAACACTTGATTATGGAGGATTTGGAACAATCTAAAATACAGTCATCAGAAAAGACTGATGCTGTCCTCCAGCAGAAACAGGATTACTTGTGATTAGGTTTAGTAGGGAAATTTAAAGCAACTTAAAATCAAATGTAAGTTGTAGAGATCAAAATCTCTCCAAACTGATTTGGATGAGAAGGCAGTTGCATTGACTGGAAGCTGACTGAGAAGCCAAAACCAAAAGCAATGTGCTTCCTGAAGGAGATGTTTAAGGAAGCGAATGTAGTGATGAGTTCCATTTAATGTAACACCTGAGAGGGCAGAGCCCTTAGGATTGTGGTACATCGTGATGATGTTCCTAAGCTGCTCTACAGGAGTTTACTGCAGGGATATAAGTATAACACAAAGGTGCTGTAGATGCTACGATAGGATTTCTCATAGGAAGGCACAGACTTCCCAGTCATGGCCAAGATGTGTTCATGGTCAGTATGAGGGAAAGGTGAGCAAACAGGAATTTCCAGATCTGAACCTGATGTCTACCAAGGAGGATGCAAGTCCGCACTGGCAGAGGCAGCAGGTGCAGGTTTGGATTCTGTGTACAGAAGACTTACGCTGCAGAAAGTCTTCTCTATGAAGACTTTGTTTCACGATGTCTTATCAGGACTGAAAGCAAACTAAAGGGAACTGGAAGAGCAACATCTTCCCCCAGTAAACTACAGCGAGTTTTTACTATTTTCCCATTAGGCTTAAGCTAAACTGGCAACTTATCTTTAGTACTCCAGTGTGGACATCTGTAGTTGAGTGCTTTGCTCAAGTGAATTCGGGGACTTACTATTTTATTAATTCCTTATTAATTTTGCTTGTACTGTGGTAATTCTTTTCTGCTTTTAGAACTTGTCTACCCTTAGACTTCACGACTGAAGCTGAAGGGCTGGGAGCTGTTGCTGCTCAGGTCTGAGACTGCAGATGACCTTGCTAATTGTGATTTGTGATTTACTGCTTGCTTTGCATTGCAGCTGCAGGGAACACGCATATTAAATGCAGAGCTGAAGTCATCCTCTGGAAAGGATGTCTGTTCTAAAAGGATGAAAGTTGTCTGTTCTGGAAAGGGCCCCACTGGTAATGCAAAGTTACGAGTGACTAATGGGGAAGGGATACATGAAATAAACGTAGCTCCAAAGCTCATAGGTTAAAATCTGGTGTTGAATTTCTGCTGAGAACTAAATGACTTCAATCTGTTTTTAGGTGTCTTTGTCTCCAGTGTTGTTCTGGTCTTACAACAGCGAGCACTTTTCAAGTTTTATATTCTGCTGGCTGCAACTTCAGTGTTGGTGAATTACTATGCTGCTTTGCACATAAACTTCTACAGTGCCTACTACACAGCTGCATTCGGAATCCAGATCTTCCCTCATAAAGGACCTTCACTATGGATGGCGCTTTCCATCCTTCAGCTGACCTTTGGAATTGGCTATGTTACACTGCTGAACGTGCAGTCCATATACTCTCAACTCATCATCCTGGATATACTGATTCCTGTCATTGGCTTGGTTGTTGAATTACCTTTAAATGTCCGGCAGATACTAGTTTTTATTTCAGGCCTGGTTCTGACACTAAACACCACAGCCATTTTAGTGATGAAAATTAAATGGTTCTATTACTCGGTGCGCTATGTTTATCTGCTGGTGAGGCACATGTATCGCATTTATGGATTACAGCTCTTGATGGAGGATACATGGAAAAGGATTCGGTTTCCAGCTGTACTGCGTGTCTTCTGGCTAACGAGACTTACAGCCCAGGCTGTGGTATTAACATATGTTGTAAAGATGGCAGAAACTAATACAGAAGAGAAATTCTTCCTGATATCGTGGGATAACTGCTGGGAGCTGCTCTGCAGCCTGATCATAAGTGGGTGTGACTCCACTTTAACAGTGTTAGGCATGAGCGCCGTCATCTCCTCCATCGCGCATTACCTGGGGCTCGGCATCTTGGCCTTCATCGGCTCCACTGACGAGGATGACAAAAGGCTGGGGTTTGTAGCACCCGTCTTGTTCTTCATCTTGGCTCTGCAGACTGGCTTGAGTGGACTGAAACCAGAAGAACGGTTGGTTCGCCTGAGTCGAAACATGTGCCTTTTGTTGACCGCAGTCCTGCATTTTATCCACGGGATGACAGACCCTGTGCTGATGTCTCTCAGTGCCTCCCACGTCTCATCATTTCGCAGACATTTCCCTGTCCTGTTGGTTTCTGCTTGCCTTTTCATCCTCCCAGTTCTGCTCAGTTACATCCTCTGGCACCACTATGCACTAAACACGTGGCTTTTTGCCGTGACGGCATTCTGTGTCGAGCTCTGCCTCAAAGTAATAGTTTCTATCACTGTTTATATATTGTTTATGATCGATGGCTACTACAATGTGCTATGGGAAAAACTTGATGATTATGTCTATTACGTTCGGTCAACTGGCAATATTATTGAGTTTATCTTTGGAGTGATCATGTTTGGGAATGGAGCTTACACAATGGTATTTGAGTCAGGCAGCAAGATCCGTGCTTGCATGATGTGTCTACACGCGTACTTCAATATCTACCTGCAAGCAAAAAATGGCTGGAAGACGTTTATAAACCGCCGGACTGCTGTGAAGAAAATAAACTCGCTTCCAGAGGTAAAGGGAAGTCGGTTACATGAAATAGATGATGTCTGTGCAATCTGCTACCATGAGTTCACCACCTCTGCTCGCATTACTCCATGCAACCATTACTTTCATGCACTTTGTCTTCGGAAGTGGCTGTACATCCAGGACACTTGCCCCATGTGCCATCAGAAAGTGTACATTGAGGACAAGGAAAACGCCAGTGTTTCCAACAACAGCGGGTTTGTGGCACCCAATGAAAACCCTGTAGAAGCTGCAGAAGAAGCTGCTGATGCTGAAAATGAAGTAAATGAGGATAACAACAGTTCTGACAGTGAAGAGGAAGACAGTGACTGTGTGGCACAGCACTTGACTGAGACTCTGAACCCTGACTCTAACTCTCTTGGTGAATAACGCCCTTTACTAAGCCGTGAGGTATGTTTAAAGTTGACTTCCAACAATAAAAGTATCACTTTGTAGTTCTTGTACTGAAGCACAACAGCAGTATCTCAGTGTTGAGTCTGTGAACGGTGGTTGTTTACTGTGGTGTGTGCTACTGTAAATATACCTCTAATTTTTGCTGGTCTCTTTCATGGCCACCTGAAAATTATGTACATTATTGTACATGGAATAAAATGTTTTCACATGTTTTTAAGATGGTTGGGAAACTACTCTTTAATTGATGTAGTGACAATGCTGTGCCAAAGACTGTATACCAGTAATCCCCCATCAATGAGTTTTAGATGCAAATGAAAAATACTGGTGAAAACAGACTTGAGCAGGTCAAATCAGTAATGAAAAGCCTGAGCCAAAGCAGCTTTACTTACAGACTCAGTATTAGCAGAGCTTTAGTGCTAAAAACTAGTGAGTTGTATTTTAAATAAATAATAATTTAGGTTGGTAAGTGTAATGTTATAGCACCTGTGTGTGTGGAACAACGGGTGAAACTGCAAAGCTTTCTGGTGAAGTAGCACAGCATGCCAGCCATGTGTTAAACACCGCTGAAATAACTACCAGTAGTAGCTTGAAGTGCTCTACATGTGAATGCAGCAGCCTGGTATTCATCTTGCAATGCCTACAGGTGTTAGCAGGAGTTGCTTGTTTGGGCTGTCCTTGAAATCAATCCTCAATCTTGCTGAAAAGGAAACAGGGCTGAGAAACTGCACCAATGCAGAGACCACCTTTTCAAAAGCAGCTTTAATCTTGTACCATAGGGGAAAAAAAATAAGCTACATACTGGCTTCCATTGATAAGAACTTGCGGATAGGATCATTTTTAAGGTTTTGCGATATATTTAGTGAAGTTATACTGAATAAATGTAAAGAAACCAACTTTATATATTTGGAAAGAAGACTTTAATAGTGTTGTTATATAGAGTATTGGCCAACTCAAGCGGGTCATCTTCTCTTACTGCTGCCATTATTTCCAGTATTTGACTAAAAAAGAAAGATTGGTATTAGAAGACTGACACTCAGACCTGAACAGACTAGAGAGTGCTGCATGTGTATGTAGAAGTCACTTAGATTAACCTGGAATACAAACCTATGCTGAGAGCAACAGGGCAGGGGGCTCAGCTACGCAAACAGCTTCACTTCTAAGTCACTAACTGCCCTTCCCTTTACACTGAACACCGGTTGTGCACTGGTACAGACTCATCTTTGGTCTTTTGACTTGTTTGGAGGTAATTAAACAGCTTTCTGGTTCAAAGAGAGTGTCATTTTGTGGATGTCTTTATCAGTGGTCTTCATTTTTCAGACTCAAACCCATGAACCTTTCAAGGTTAAGGCTGTGCTATGAATAACCTGGTCTGTGCAAAGCTGGAACTCCAGCTACAGCCCTACCTGAGAGTAGAGCTGCCAAAGGAACTTCATGCTACTTCCCCCTTCTCCATCTTGACTGTGATTAACACATTCAGGTATTTGCAGTAAATGTTAAATGAGCAAATTTAGAAGGCCTGTAGTCTTGAAACAAGCCAGGAAAAGCAGGCAAGAAGAATGGGAGGAATAATACTAACGCTAAGTAACACAAAACCAAGCCACGCTTTTTTCTCTGTACTTATTTTTTTGCATCACTCTGAAGAAAATACTCTGAACAGTTCCTAAGATGTGTTGGACTTTATTTTTTTCTAGTAGTATGTCCAAAACCTCATGGTGAAGAGAGTAAGAAGCTCAAGCTTCGTAGTACGGTTTAGTAGCTTTGGATCTTGCCTCTTGGATAATAGCTAAGCTCCTTTTTTCAGGAAGACGAGCAGAAGAAGTTGCTCTTATCAATTACTAGAATGAAGATATTTTCCTCCATGCAGAATTAGCCCATTTCATGACCACTCCTGTGCTTTGCAGCCAAACAGGGGATGTTCCAGATGAGACAGGGTGAGATGAGGTGCAGAAATAAGTAACAAATACCAAAGAATTCACCCTTGAAGAGCTTTGCTAGGGCTTACACATCTAGCCCCACTAGGATGCAGGGGGATGCTACAGGTTCCTGTACCACTGTAGATGAAATCACTGAAGGAGTAAAGAGCTTTTTGTGGCTAAAATTAAGCAAACTAAAAAGCTTCCAAGGGGAGCAGTGTGTTTCTACATAGATCAGAACTGAAAGGTGTCCAGCACCACCAAAAAAAGCCAAGTGCAAAACTCAGCTCCTGTCAACTGAGCTATATTAAACAGTCTCTACACCCTAAACATGAAATACCCTTTGTGGCCTGGGTCTAACTCTCCCCTCACGCCACATCTTCCTACTTGAATGTCACAAACCAGCAGTTCTCAGTTGCCATACTTGATTTTTCCTAAGGTTTAAGAGTTTCTAAAGTCACTAACCTACAATTAGTACAGGTTATAATTAATGTTAAAGGGACAGTCATTTTTAAATCAGGTTGAACTAAAGATTTTGTTTTATAAAAGGAAGCAGAAGCCAAAGCACAGCAGTTGGGTGCTGCTGCAGGACAGACTCTCTGCATTTCCAGCTCGGGTTTCTGAAACACTCTAAGCTTCAGCTGAGGCAGCAGAGACAGGGAGTGGTGGTAGCACATACAGGCTTGGTGAAACTCAGCAGCAGCAGAGGCCTTCCCTCCACTTGTGATCAGGAAAATGTTCTCAGCTGAATCTCGTCCCTACTCCAAAATCATGGACTGACCCTAGAAAGTCTTAAAGCCCTTCTGTGTTAATGTGTGTGCTTCGTGTGTGAAACAGCAAGAAAGCAAGTTTCAAAGTATTACAATCCAGGTAACTGCGTAAAGTGTATCTAAACACTAGGAGATGTCACTGTGTGAACTATGCTTTTAACATGGTCAGTGGTCATCTGAATTTTGTCAGGTCTCCCAAAAAAGCTGCAGAACTCCCTCCAGTTCTCAACTAAACTTGTTCTGGAGACACCTTGCTGAATACCTGGATTCTTTAGCACTATCCTAAGCAGTATTTCCGAAGCTAGTTCCGAACAGGCAACTTACACAGGTTTGCATAGAAAGACAATAGGGCTTCACAGCAAAAAATCCCATTTCTGATCCAGTACACGGGCTGTGCACCTGGATAAGTAGAGCTGTGAGCTTCATCTGCTGAAAATGTATTCATGTACCACAAGAAGAAACTGTCTCCAGCTCCTTTTCACAAGCATGAGCATGTTGGCACAACTCACTGGCCAGATCTTAGTAACAGTTATGAAAATCCAGGCATTTCATCTATGGGTGCTATTTAATGGAGGAAACTAAATGTTTTTGCCTTTAATACCTGGGTGAGGAAGCGCATGAAAAGGCAGCAGGAGATTGTTTGTGTACTTTAACTGCCCAAACCCCTGGAGTTTTGTGCCGCTGTTCTGCACGTTGACTGGTGTTACTGAGATCTGACCTTCAGGGAATCAGTTCTTTTTAAGTCCAGCAGCAGAATGAAGAGACAGCCCTAACCATGAACAGTGGTCCAGCAGTTCATGGCAAAGGTGCTGTGATGCCAGCACAGGCACCGGCACCACTCGTGTACTGGCCCCCTGCAGGGCTCCAGCACTGCTGGATCAGAACAACCACTGAGAGAAATGGTACCTTACAGGGTTTAACCCCTTCTCCAGTGTAGCAGTGAAAAGAGAAAACCAGCACTGGTTCCTCTTTCAGGGAGCTTTTACACCTGGAATTGTGGAAGTGGGAAAATAAAAGACTTGGAATTCTGTCCACAGCCTACAAGTTTCAGTACATTTAGAATTCATTTCTCTTCACTACATTTCCAGTGAGATGACTGATAAGACAAGGGGTAATGGGTTCAAATTTAGACAGGGAAGATTTAGGTTGGATGTAGATTCTTTACTGTGAGGGTGCTGAGGCGCTGGCACGGGGTGCCCAGAGGAGCTGTGGCTGCCCCATCCCTGGCAGTGTTCAAGGCCAGGCTGGACACAGGGGCTTGGAGCAACCTGCTCTAGTGGAAGGTGTCCCTGCCTGTGGCAGGGGGTTGGAACTGGATGATCTAAGGTCCTTTCCAACCCAAACCATTCTGTGATTTTTTTCCATTGCCTCCCCCTCCCAAGATTTGAAGTATTTTTAACAACGGTGCAGCAGTACACTTACATTATGTGGCAGGGCTCATTTCTGTCCTTCAAGCAGTGCCCTACTTCCCATTTCTTTTTCGTAGGAAACGTAGTTTTAACGTATTTTGCTCCAGCATGAGTGTTCTTCACTCCACACCAAGGTGCATCTAGGTCCATTTGAGAAAAAAGAAAAGAATTAGAGTATGCAATCATTTGAGAACAGCATGAGATAGACAGTTCAATCAACTACTTCCACAGACACATGTTCTTGCAATCCTTTCTAGCAGCGACTTCCATTTCCAAATGGTATTTCAGAGATTTTGGCAGTTTAACTTCTTCACAATCTTTGGATATGGTTTTTAATTTAAAAACAAAAACAGCAATAGTACATGACACTGATTTCCTCTGACATGATAAGGATCGCTCCATACACGGCATGTGTTCCACATCACAGGCCTGTACTTCAGTAAGGCTTTAGGCAATTTTAGGTTTTCCTTTCTCAGCTACAGAAAACAAATACTGTAACTGCCACTACTGATAACTGAAATGAACACACCACAAAAAAAACCAAACACATCCCTAGCCAGTCAATTGAAATCACTGCTCATGAGGCCCAGAGGGGAATGCAAGTGTTCTTCCACCTTATCCCATCAAAAAGCAGTTGTTTCCACATGCCATTAGTGCAACCTGTGGTGAGCCTGTAGCTGCTGCCCTGTGCCTGGCACATCTCCAGCAAGCCTAATTTTCAAAGAGATCCAAGCAGGATTCTGGTACCTGGGCACATTAAAAACTCCAGGCTTGTCAATCTGTCCTTTCTGTCTTCCCCTGCAGTGTCAGAACTGACCCAGCAGAAGGCTGAACAGGAATATTTCTGGAGCCTGTAAACTGCTTTCCCAAGTGAAGAAACAGCCAGGCCTGTTTCTGCTCCAGACTCCTTGGGTCTAGAGCCTGCTTTATCATTGCAATACAGGCTAATCTCATTACCCAGCACTGCTAAAGTCACAGACTGACCAAGATACAAAATCTTACCGGTCTCTATCATTAACCGCTCACTCGGAATCGATTTCAGCATTTCCAAGTTGGCTTCTGTTTTCAGTGAACTACAAAAGCAGAGTTTGGTTAATAAAAACCCAAACACAAAACATGTGCAAAAGTCATTTGCCTGTTGCAATGCCTTGCAGCAAAGGCAGCTCCCTTAAATAACTCTGTTAGTGAATAAAATCTGATTTGCTTTTGTAAAGTGCTGCCCGTAAACTGAAACTTCGCAGGAAAAGGCAGATTTGGAGAGTTACCGGCTGGGGGAAGCCGTCCCGCCGCAGGGAGCACTCGCAGCCCCTGCCGGCACCGCCGGTACTTGGCACTCGCTTTCAGCCAGCTCAGTGCTGAGAACGCCCATGAGGCTGCTCACGTTACACCGCATTACTCCGGGGGTTGACATGGCAGCTTCAAATGACGCTGTTTTCTAAACACCTCTCCGAAGGACTATTTCCAGGTTCAACCACCTTATTTATTTACAAACAAGGACTGACCTGAGGGCAGCAGAACGGACCCAGGACTAGATTAACTTGTTGTGCTGAGAGTTGAGAACTTTTTATGGCTAACAGACTAATGAGCGGGATTCTAAATCTGTCAGATGATTAAAAGTCCAGCCAGCTCTGAAACCCTGACCTCATTGTTTCAAAGAAAGCAATGAGTTCACTGCTGCTGACATTTCAAAATGGTTTTATTTCTTGTGAAGAACTTACCAGCCATTTATTCCAATATAAAGATCCAAATCTACTACAGCTGCTGCTTCTTCCTTTGTGCCATCAAAAGAATGTACCTGGAATGGATATATAGATGCACACAGATATACAATCCATGCACTTCATTTGAAACTCCAATCATTTAAAGTACATATTTGTTTTTATTTGTCTCATAAATACCTTTGATAGTATGTATTACACTTAACACAGATGGGACACGGCACAGGTCATTCTGAACTTGGGCAAAGTTCAGGCTGAAGTCACTTCAACACTCCAGCAGCAGTGGCTACTAGGGTTTGTTACTGACAAATAGGTGTAGAAAGGGCCTGTCCAGTGATACCACTACAGGCCCAGAACTTACTCATAGCTGGGAGACCATACGTAGGAAGGAACCCCCTGCATGCTGAATGTTTACCATCTTCCCTCAGTATTCCCTACAGGGCACTGTCAGGTTTATAGTAGGAGTAGTGTAACGTTCTCCCCAGATTTTAGTCCACTGGAACTGAAGTGACAGTGTACTGGGGCATCCCAGGCACTGCAGAGCCCAGTGGCAGGTCACAAGGCACAAAGAGCACAACCCGGCTGGGAGTGGAGACTGTCAGCTCCCCCATGCTGCCAGGGCAGTGAAGGGGCTCCTGCTCCTCGCTCCTCTGCTCTTAAAGGATTTGCAGGAAAAAAGGAAGGGAAGACTGCACAGTGTTACCCATGAGCATGCACAGAACTGAGCTAGGGAAGTGGGTTGTGGTGACAAAGGGGAAACCTAAGATACTGTTGTGGGAGGCGAGGTCTGATGGCAATAGATAGAATAATCCAAGCATTTACTGCTTTTGGAAAACCCTGCCATAATGGAAACCTGAAAGAACATGGCTGGGCTTTCCTAACCATTTCACCCAAAGCTTTTCCTGTTATGCTTTTGAATTAAAATACACGGTCTGAATATCTAAAGACATAAAGTAATCAAAAGTTACATCTGGATCCAATTTGAAAACGATGTTTAACGTCAGAAGCAAACGTTTGAGGTTACAGTTTCCACAGGGAACATACAACTAAATTATCTGTGGTCTGAATGCACTGCAGTTACAGACACTGAGGAGCTGGGACAAGGCCAATGTCAATTATAAGGTGCTTAAACTGTCCTTCTGACAGGCCAAGAAAAACGGCTCGTGTCAGCTGCAGGGCTTTTTCTCAGCCTATCTTCTTACCTTGCAAAAAGAGCTGTTGAATAAGCCACAACAGTAAAAATACTAGAAGGGACTGGAAAACACTTCTTAACTAATACTAACTTCAACTGTGTAACAGGAAGCCTACCTGGATTCCATGCCAAACAAGAATCTGCGTATTAAGCAACAATATTCACACACATGCATGTAAAAATGAATGCTATGCTGACGTCCGTACTTACCACCCCTCCTACAAATCTGTCTCTGTTTCTTCTCATTACGTCTATGAAATGAAATAAATACAAATGTAAGACAGCTTTATAACAGACAAAGGTGAAAGACTCGGGTTTCCCAGTTCTTCACATTCGGAACTTGCTCTGAGTAAGAAATTCTCAAGGAAAACTCACCTAAGAACTCAGTGTGTGAGTTTCTACAGTGGAGAAACATGGGCAGTTGTGTCTGTTCTGACAGGTCAAATTGCTTTTCAAAATACCTGTAAAATAAAAATCACCTTTAAACAGAAATCCAGTATGAAAGCAAATAAAGACAGCGGAAGAGTTTTCTCCAGCTTTTGTCCTCCAGAACTAGACAGGATTAATGGATTTGCCATGCAAAAGCTCCGATTTGTGCAGGGATTGAAAAGGAACCCTTTCCTATGGTGCTGTCACATAGCAGTGATCACTGGAAGACAGCTAAGGTGGCCAAGTGCATCAGCACTGAAGGATGGAGTTTGGCCTTATTTCTTTTTAATGAGCAAGGAACTGACTGTTCTTTCCACAGAGTTTTGAAATGTCAGGAATGGGAGAGTGTGGATCACACAGAGAACACTATTTCAAGAAGTGCTTGTAAATGGGCCGAGAGTGGGTGAGGGAGCACCAGGCAGACTTGTGTAGCCCCACATGGCCCATGCTGCATCAGGGCTGTCTGGGCTGTACAGCAGCAGTTCACAGTTTCTGTCTGCCCTTCCAGGGGGACAAACAGATGAAGTCTCTGCTCTCTTGGGGTGAAACAAATGCCAGTACTGGCCATCTTACTTCTGCCCTATTCTGCCTCCCATCTTCACTCTTGCAGTCTGTCTGTTTTCCCTCCTCTGTGTGTCTGCATCTTTTCCTTTCCACTCCATTTTATCCCTCTCCTACTTTCTATTCCTAGTACTCCCTTTGAAGGAGCGGTAGCAGCGAGGCAGCCATCCTATGAGGAGACACTAAAATGTGGGCAGAGGGAAGGTAACTTGGTGGCCAGGCAGTTTCCAGAGGAAGCCAGTTAGCACTGAACTAGCCCGTCACTTGTCACTTGCAGGCAGCTCTGCTCCAAGCACATTATCATTTACAAGCCTGTCTGCTCTGGCACGCAAATTACCAACGCTCAGGCACACAGCAGAGGAACTTGTGTGTGGCAGAAGGCCACCGTGCACAGGTGACTCAATCCATACTCAATGTAAAAGATGACTTTATGTGGACAGGGCAGAACAGCATTGCCTGTCCCAACAGGCTGGGAATTTTGAGGTGTTGCTGTCAAAAGCAGTCCAGGACACTGGGGCATTCCCAGATACGTTTCACAGGCAAGCTCAAGCATCCACATACTGCTGTGTACAATTCACATGTCAATCAGGAAAGAGCGGCAGCAAAACATCAGTTTGATTTACATTTTCATGAAGAAAAAGGACAACGTGTTTTGTTCTGTGCAGTTTTCACTAGTTTCTGTGTACTGCAGGTTCCTGTTTCTCTGTTACCTGCCCTGTTCATCAGTGCAGGTGGAACAAATTGGCTGTAACCTTCAAAACTGACATGAGAATTCAGAAGAATAAATTACACCTACTTTGAATCTTCTTTGTCTAGACACTCTGCTTAGTTTAGCTTCTTTGACTAAATATAAACGTAATTGCAACCCATGACTGCTCTTGTGGTTAAATAGCTACAATTGCCTGATTATTGGTGGGGTTTTTAAACAGAAGACTTTTTTCATATGGAAATGAGGTTTTAGAGACCGAGCTGCAAATAAAACCCCCAAGTAACCTCCTGGCCACCTTCAATCCAATTTTGAGAAGGGCAGTAGTCTTGAAAGTACAAAGTTTAGTGCCCCTACAAATGCAAAGGCAACTCAGGCTTCTTGCATTCCTAGCAAAAATGAAGCAAAACATGTGTCCTGTCAAACAGCAAGGGGAGGTGGATGAGGAAGTTCTTGAGGAGAAAAAGAAAACAAACTAGTTACAAAAGTAACTAAAAGAAACACAGAAACTGAACCTTACTAGTTCCAGTGCTTAAGGAACAACCTTTCTCTTTGGGTGAGCAGAATGTTGTTCAGTATCTGCTCGTTCTGTGTTGCTTCCTGATAAGGAAGTTTGAAACATTTCTGTATGGCTGTTTGTAGGTTTAGTTTTGACCATCAAGTCCAAATGCTGTGTTATTTTCAGACTTGGGATCAAGGCACTGAAGGAGCTTAAGCAAATTGGCCTTGCAGAGGTACGTCTCCAGACAAACCATTCTGGATTCATGGATGAAGAGCAGTGCATGTGATGCTGTTCAGCCCTCCAATATGGTTAAGAAAACTCGTATTTCTGTGCTGCTACACCCCACAAACCCCTCCTGGGAGTGCAGCAGATGTAAAACTTCTCTCTACACTTACCAGTCCATTTATAATGTGACCTTCACCCTAAAACGAAGGCAGCACCTTCCTCTAACTACCATTTAAATCACCATTTTCTGTTGGAAAAGTTATGACAAGAAAAATTCTGAGAAAGAAAAGCTTTTTGGGCTGCTTCAACAAAGGAATTTCATCTTTATTTGCTTCTCATCTTTATCTGATTTTAAATCCAAGAAAAAAGGATAATAAAAATCTTCACAGGTGAAAATTATCAGAAGAAAAACTAGAAAATAATGATTAACCATTAACAGAGCAGAGGCCATGCCCAGGTACCACTCACAGGGAAACTGCCGTACCCAGCTCCTAGGGGGTAACTGCAGCTGCTCACTGCCTATCCCAGTGACTGCTACTCCTGAACTATGGATCAGCTGGAAACAGTGAACTGCCTCCGTGCACTGCACACTTCACCTTCCTTTTATAGCTGATTTATCAAGCCTACACTGAATCTCAATTTGAAGAACTCACCATGAGTCATGAAAGCCAAACTGCCTCCAACTCCACAGCATTCAACTAGCAGAAATAAAACCAACCCCAACCCCTGACCACATTTCACAGACACACGTAGAGTGAAGAGCAGGGGAAGCTGTCCACTCGGAAAAGAGGGAATTTACAAACAAGTATTTGCAGGCATTTGGCCTTATATTTCTTCACTCCCTCATATTTCTTGCTTTCTGGGGTGGTTTTTTTCAGTCAATCACTTCCTCCCAGCTGCAGTGTCCAGCAAGGGCTCTCAACAGACCTTTTAGAAACTAGATTCATTGATTTCATATGATTTACTTGAAATAGCTTGGATAAAGGCTTTCTGTCATCATCAACCTTAATGAGCAAGGACTCACCTACCCCTTTAAAAGTGATTTCTATTCTACCCTCTCACCTCTTTCCTCATAACCCAGTTCCAGTGCACCTGATTACAAGTTTTTCACCACAGGTCTTCAGCAGCAGCCCACTGGATAAGGAAAATCAGATCTTATTTCTTCTGTCCATACATCAAGGCAGTAAGGACCTTAAAATACAACACCCCACCAGAGTTTCAGTTTGCCACAGAAAAGAAACAGGTTATGCTCCAACATGTGCTTTGCTGAACTTTGTCTACACTGATTTCTGCCAGGAAAAGAACTTCTGGCCACTTTGCTGAATATTTTAGTGCACGACTGCAGCATTATGAAGAAATTAACTCTACTTACTGCTGACATGTGGCAATCAGAGAAAAATGATACAACCAACCACTGCCCCCCAGTGACTGACTCACTCACAGCAGCAATATGCAAAACTGCAACTCATTAACCACGCATCTTATTTGGATTTATCACTTGTATCTTCCAGTCAGGTCCTTCTGTAGACAGAGGTTCTCAGTACAAGAATGCAATGCTGTGCTTGCTTCTTTTCATTCAGCATCTACACTGCATATATTACCTCAAAACACAGATCTCTCCAGCTTCCCAAATTACCTTCATCATCATCATCAACTCTCAATTACATGCTCCCAGCTAAGACCTCCCTTAGCTCATTTTTTCCACTGCTGACTTACCCTTTTGACAGTGCTGTTCCCTTCCCCATGCCTTTCACTCAACAACTTAATTCTTCTCTCACACATTACACTTAAGTTATGTTCACAGAGACACAGAATGGTTGAGGTTGGAAGGAACCACCAATGGTCATCTGGTCCTACGTCAAACAGGGAAATTTTCCCCATGAATTTCTAAGAATTCTTGATTATTAGCAAGAATTAACCTCTGTCACACTGAGAAAGCCATAAATTCTGATTAATTTAACAGAAAAAGACATGCTCAGTTAACACCAGGTGGGTAGCAACATTTAGCACATAGCACTATTTGAAGGTGGGCATCTTTCTTTCAAAGTCCCAGTTCTGCCATAAAAACCCATCACCAACCCTGCCAATCGCACGTGTGCACCTGACAAAATGTTACGTGGTAGAACACAAGAAAGAAAATACTCCTGAAAATTAATACAAGTCAAATTTACAGCCATGAAAAGTTTCTTACTTGAGTTGGATGTCCTTTGGGCAAAATTCTAATCTATCAAAATCTACAAAGAGAAAGAACAAAAAACCCAAGTCAGTGTTTTAGGATTGTTTTAATAAATGTCTAGAAAAAGCAATACTTTAATTTCTGAGCTAACACTTACCCAAGCCACATTCTCCAACTGCTATCACCTTTGTCTTGTTTTCTTCAATCAGGTCTTTTAGTTCAGCTAAGTACTGTTCAGGGCCACTCTGCTCAAATTCTCCACAGCGGGTCGGATGACAGCCAACTGTACTGTAAAACACATCTACAGCAAGACAGTATTAGAAGGTTTTAAGGAACAATAAATAAATATATAAGGTATAGACAGTGTCTGTGTCTGGACTTTTTTATTGCTCATCTTTTTAAAAGAAAACTCCCTTTGAACATCTTTACCTTGGTGACGATTTTATTAGACATTTTCTGCTTTAGAAATATTAAGACGGTATCTCTAGTGGGGCTGTGTCTTTTTAGTACACATTATTTAGCAGACTCCCAAAACTGCAACTCAAAGCTGAACTATTCTGGTGGAGCAGCCCTCAATAAATCATACAACTGTTGAGGCTGGAAGAGACCTCTTGAGATTTAGAAATGTATCTATCTCATTCCACATGCTTTCCTCAGCGGGAAGATTTGCAGCCAGCATGCCATTTCCCTTGTGTGCCCTACATGAGCTGTTACAGAATTCCACAAACATCCAGCCTGATATACTAAAGTATCTAATCTCAATTTCTTAGTGCCAAAAGGAACATTTCTGCTAAGTACCTTTATGGAGAAAATAAAAACACGGGGGGAGGAAAGACTGGGCAAGGCCCCAGCAACTTGATCTAATACTAATGCTAGTCTTGCTTTGATGATAAGTGGGGAAGTAGACTGGATAGGACCAAATTACCTCCTCAGGTTCATTCCAACCAAAATTATTCTATGGTTCTGTTCATAAATAGTACTTTAACATGTGTTTTAGTTCAAATACGTATTTTAAGTAATTAGTGGAATGATATTTGCCTAAGGAAAAAAGGAGAGATACAATTCTTTCCACAGCAAGAAAAGGAGAGGCAGGAGAAGCATGAAGACCCCTCTCTTGTTCAAGCTAGTCATGGCAGATTGGCAAGTAAAAACCAAACAAAACCCCACCAAAACCATACATTCCGCAAAGCTTATTTCTAGAAGAGAGCCTTGTAACAAAGTTTTTTATTCCAGAAATTTCCTGCAATTTCTGGTTTCGCCTAGAAATAGAAATTGCAGGAAAGAAGGATTCCTTCCAACAGCCAGGGATCTAAGGAGCAACATACAGACACTCCCACACAAGGCATTCAGCCCATTCTGAAACAGTTTCTCATTTTACTCTGAGATTCTGTAAACACCTCCAGGGAGAGGCCCTTTTGAACTCTTAATTCTGAGTAGAGAATTAAGACTGACAATGCAAGTTTAAAGTGAAAATACCATTTGTCTGTGCCAGCTGCAATGCATCTTTACTGTCTTGTAGACTCCCACCTGTAATCAAAAACTTGGAAGAAGGAAAGTACTGTCAGTGAGTATGCTCTTCTGTGAACATCAAACAGACTGCTTAAGAAAACACTTAGATGTAAGCAAGAATCTAGACAGAGAACATCAGAAGACAATTACTAATGTATATATAACAATTTCAGAGATCAGAAACAAACCCCAGTGGTCCTCAGGAGCTAGTAAATACACTACCTATCAAAACCTCAGATCAAGTATCTTCTACACTAAGTATTTAAACCATTAAATGAGTAAAATACTTTTAGTTGCAGCAATACCTTCAGTAGGCAGCAACTCAATAAACTTTATTTGCATTCAAGAAATGATATTCAGAAACATTCCCTCTGTCTTACAGGTGCAGAAATTAAAAACTCCCAAACTCCCATAACAAGACATGAGTAAGTAGATAAACCAACAAAGGTGCCTGTATCAGAGTCAGGATTACAAACTGAAGAGTTTCTGGCTCTGGTCTTTTATTTTGAGCTTAAGATCAAAGGTTAAAACACCAGAATTGTTGCTTACAGTGGTTTTTGAACCACCACTTGCAGAATCTTGCTCCCTAGGTCCTAACAAATCATGACTACACTGCTTCTGCACAACTCTTACCCCTGCACACACTATACACCAGAGAGGTCAGACATTCCTGCAGTATGTTCCACTACTGACAGGCACATCTCAACAGTATCACCAGTAAAATAAACTAAGCTGAATTGGCTCAGTGTACATACAGCACAGGGCAAAACCTCACAAAGTATTAACATAAATCAGCAGCTATATGGAAGAACATAAGTATTTTCAAATGAACAGATTAAGTTTCTAGGCAAGCAGAAACAATGTGGGATGAAACAGGCTTCTCATACCATACAGGCCACTAGCAAGACTGAAACCAGCTAAGGACAGGGAAGTCCAGAATTCCGTCTCTGAATCTACCGAGCATCTTGCAAAAGTTATGCAGCTGATCTGTTTGTGATGGTGGTATTGAGATTAAACAGAACTTGGCACATACAAGTGCAGTAAAAGTGGCTAGTTCTGTCTCTGCTCCAATGTGGAAACTTCTTTTTTTGTCTTCTTGTTTATTTCTTACTCTTTACAAATGAGTCTTTCAGCATCTTCTGAGACCCCTGTTCTTCTTCTAGAGAAGGGTTTCTTTATTTCTAACTCACCAGCCTTATTAGTGCAGTAGAAGACTTTGTGACATTATATGTTGTATTCTGCTGTAATTCATACTTTTTTCTTGGCAATTCATTCAGTTCAGAGACAGACACAGGCTGGATTACTGTGACTGAAGGAGTGTGGTGCACTGCTGAAAACACTAATTTTCAGCTACGAGTAACCAACCTGCTCATAATGCTGCTGGTTTAACACACCTAAGCCAGTATTTACTAGCAGGACATTCGCATGTCTCAACTGTTAAGAATTTATGGGCACTCTGAGCTCTTCTACAGTTACCCACTTCCTTTACATATAGAAACATCTGAAGGATCTCAATCAGAAGAGTTTTTCAGCTTTGATCTATCGCAGTAACTGCTGAGTAAGAGAGTCACACAGGATACAAGAAGAAAGGAGTGGTTGCTACAATACAACTAGCACAGAAAATTACGTGTTAGTTGTTGCAGGTCAGAGGAGAACACCTTCTACACACATGTCATATATGATACCACTTAATCAGCATCTAATGATGTGTGCAAATGAAAGACAATGCTCTGCACAGAACACTTTTGCTTTATGCTATCGAAGAAAGTTACTGCATTTTCCACTGCAAGGTCTAGAAACATCTGGTTGAACAGGGGAGCACTAAAACCCCAAAGTATTACGAAGCAGTTTAAATAATAAAGAAAGTTTATTATAAGAAATCACCTTTTTCACACCAACTTTGACTGCTCGCTCCACCACATCCAAAAAGTCATCTGTGAAAGTTCACAAAAACATCATCAATTGAACTTAAGGTTTTACAGCATAATTCAACTACTTTTCAACTAAAACCCACTTTCATGCAGTCAAAATGCTGATCATGAATCTGTAAACCACACTTGATTGATCCTGAGAAGACAATAACCAATGCCATAACTGAAGCTCCAATTTAAATCCAAGAGGTCAATGGAAGTTTTCCCATATACTGTAGGAGACTCTCTGTTTTTACATCTATATCTAAAAGGCACGAGTGCAATAAAAGGATGTTATAATTAGTAACTATGACTCAGCAATGCAATGCTTTGGTAGTTTATTGTTCACAGTTATCAGGTTTTTCCATGCAATCCTAATACAAACAGATCAGAATCCTCATTACCTCTATGACAGATTAGCAGCAATTAAGAGAATGAATTTTGCTCAGATCATCTAACTTATTTTGTTACACTTTCTTCTTCAAGCCTAAGTAAACAAGCATCCGTTTTTTGAGGAGAAAACCCCCAACCCTCTAACCTCACATTCTGACATCTAAAAGGTTCTATTTTAATGAGAGGGGTCCTGCAGCTGTTTCAGCAGGCACAAAGAAACATTTACCTTGATGTTTTTGTGTTCCCCTGTAGATTCCTCTGAACATAGGATCTGTCAGATTAATACCAATATCTATAAAAAAGACCAAGGATAGAAATTTGATGTTATGGTCACTCTACACTTAGACACGTTTGACACTAGAGGAAAATTTTCACAAGAACAATCATCCACCACAGGGAAGTGGTGGATTCCCTAACACTGGGTGCTTAAGGTTTGGCTGGACAGGGTGCTGGGACATCTAGTCTAGGTCACGCTTTGCCTAGGAAGATTCATCGACATCAGAGAATCAACTAGGTTGGAAAAGACCTTTAAGATCATCAGATCAGATGATCCTTGAGGTTTCTTCCAACCTGGTATTCTGTGATTTCAGTCTGCGCACCAGCCAGCTAGGGAAGACAATGGAAAGCGTATCTTAACAACCCCCAACTACCACAGGCCACGTAAAGCTAAGTGACTTCCTAAGGGAAGGAAAAATGCAGCATGTTGCACACCCCCAACCCTCACCCAGGCGGAGCAGCACCAGACTGCCTCATGTAAGCTGCCTGTTCCCCCCCTTCTGCCCAGGACACCCACCGCGGGCAGCACCGGGGACCTGCAATGCAGTCACCGGCCTGAGCTGCTCCAGCCCCTTCTCTCTTGGCTTCCAAGGCTTTCCCTGCGCTGCAGCCTCCCAGACCAGGGCTGAAGCTCAGGCATCAGGAACACCGGCCTCTGCAGCTGCCAAAGCCACCTTTCCAGCGGGGTTTCTAGTGGGAAGGGAAACGTTCCAGCATTAGGCTGCTCAGCCACACGCAGACCTTCAAGCTGAACCGACCTTCTCAGGTTATTTACCTGTTTCCTGCCTCATTTCTTAAGAACATCAACATTTTCACCCAACTCCATACAACTAACAACAACAGCGACTAATGCGCCAAAGCG